CCCTCCTCCCCACCCGCGCCGCTTACTCTTTGGCCTTGTCATCTCCATCCCCTCCGGCCAAATTGTCCACAGCGATGGCCAAGAAGACGTTGAGCAGGATGTCTGAGGTGCGTTAAGAAGATTTCTCCTGGCTCAAATCGTCACAGAGGTGGTCATCGGCTCAAGGAAATGGAAAAACTTTGTGCTCAAGGAAAATCTTGTGCAGGTCACTCGCTGCTCTTGTAAGGCAAACGCGGAGTTCCTCAGGGTTCTTCTTTTGGTCCCTTTTGATTGGACAAAAGACACGAAGAGCACATTGTGCCAAAGGATACAGTTGCCGCAAATGAAGAGGATGACAAAGTAGATGCAGACGATCATCCCGGGAAAGACGGGGCCGCCGTACGCCATGATGCCGTCGTACATCACCACGTTCCAGTCCTCGCCTGTCAGGATCTGCGACATGAGGTCGGGTTATCAGTGACACACTCAGCGATACGGCTGGGGGAAAAAAAAAAAAAAAACGGAGCTGTTCAATGGTTCCGCGATTACTTTTCATCAGTTGCTGACCGTCTGTAAAATTTTGGCTGTGATTTCCCAACGTGGGGGGGACTTCAGTCGGCAATTTTAGGTCTTGGCTATTGTTTGGCTAAGATTTACAAAAGACTCAACTTGACGAAGACTTTAAGCGCAGGCTTGAAATGTCCCCTGAATTTACATGTGCTGCTTAAAATCTGCTTTTAAAAGACAGTGAGAGACTTTTAAATTGTTTTTGAAGGAAATTGCTTCTCCCGTGTCATGTGAGCAACCCACCAGAAAGCAATGAAATGAGTGGAAAGACCCTTTTGGGTCATTCAATTTGCATTCCAGAATTTTAGGCTGTTGAGAAAATTGAGAATGGCAATGTGCAAGATTGAAAAAGAGAAACAAACAATGGAACTGAATCTGTCCGTCTGAACACCACAAAGACAAGTTAGCGAGGTGAACTTCACCGTTTAGCTTAGCTGGCCACTCAAACACGAGCTAAGCTTCATGTCGCTCACGCGCTCAACCGAGAAGAAAACACTGTCGATGCGACCGCCATCAGCGGTCTCTACCTGGAAGCAGGTGAGCAGCGCCTGCGGGAAGGCGTCAAAGGTGCTGCGCTTGGTCTGCGTCTCGTCGAAATTGAACTTGCCGCCAAAGAGCTGCATGCCCAGCAGGGCGAAGATGATGAGGAAGAGGAAGAGGAGCAGCAGTAGCGAGGCGATAGACTTCATCGAGTTGAGCAGAGACGCCACCAGGTTGGACAGAGCCGTCCAATGGCTGCGCAGAGGAGATGGTGCTCGAGGATTTGCCATGCCGGGAGGTTTCGCGGTGCGGCGTGTCCTGTCCTCACCGCGTGACCTTGAAGATACGCAGCAGGCGGACGCAACGCAGCACGGAGATTCCCAGCGGCGGCATGATCTCCAGCTCCACCAGGATGGTCTCCACGATGCCGCCGCAAACCACGAAGCAGTCGAAGCGGTTGAAGAACGCCACAAAGTAATGCGCCAGGCCCAGGCTGTACATCTTCAGCAGCATCTCCACCGTGAAGAGCGACAGCAGCACCTTGTTGGCAATATCTGCACGCCGCATGGGGAGGCGCGCATGCACATGATCATACACACGGACACGGCAAACCACGCACGCAATTGTGCTCACGCACGACCTGAACTGGACGGTTATGTACAGCTGGTAACATACACATGAAATAACACACACGCACGTGCAACGTGTAAACGGTAACACACAGTAACACAAACGTGGTTGCACAATCCTGGTCACTCATAGAGATGGAACACGCAAATGGAAGCACTTGTTAATAACACACACACATAGAAACACTTGGGAACTGGCAAGCGGTTCAGGGTGCCCCCTGCCTACTGCCCGAAGATGGCTGGCAGATGCTCCAGCACGCCCCCTGCGACCCTTGTGGGGATAAAGCAGATCGGAAAATGGATGGATGGATGGACCTGGTCACACACACGGCAACACACACAAAAGCACGCACGTGGTCAAACAAATGTAGTCACGCACACGGAAGCACACGCACATGACAACAGACCTCGGCACACACACATTTTAACATGCGCAGAGTCATTTGGCAACACAGATAATGTCATGAGGTGTGTGTGGTGGTCGTGGACCCCAAAAAAAGCACGGAGGCGGGACAAGCCGAGTGTACCGAACAAAAACACTTACTGCGGGCACACTGGAAAAAAACTACATTCAAAACACAAACAAAGTCCTGAAAACCCCAATGAACAAAAGTAAGAAACAAAAACCAAAACAAAACATGACAGTGGCGCAACGATGCGACGCTGAGTGGTCGGCGTGGAAGTCTTTTTAAAAAAAAAAAAAAAAAAATGAGCGAATGACATGACGACCAACAGGTGCGACGCTGGAGGAGAAGCCCTATAATGCCACCTGTTGGTCACAAACGGAACACAACCATGACAGGAAACTACGAAACAAAACCTAATCTAACCGAACCCAAAAAAAAAAAAAGAATCATGACAAATTGAGCTGACACACAACGACCACACGGACATGGTAACACAGAAATAGTAACACACACATTGGTCACATAGACATGGCAACCCAGCATTGGTCACACGCGGCAATACACACACATGGCCACACACACTCGCTAACGCGCGTATTGGAGCGCAGTCGAGGGGCACGCAAACACGGTCGCACGGGCATGATCGGCACATGCACGCTCATCATCATGAACTCCGTCGCACGCCCACACACACACACGGCGTTTAAAGAGTAGAGGGGGCCACGGCCGTACCCTGCACCTGCGTCAGCCAATCGGGTTGGTCGTAGTGCTCGGAGGCGCTGAGGGAAGTGTTGAGGAAGACGAGCAGCAGGACCAGCCAATAGAAGGTCACCGATTTGACGGCCGTGCGACAGTTCCTGCGACACACTCGGTTCCAGCGTCGCAGGGTCCGACTGGGTTTCACCGAGGCCGCAATAACATCGCCGTGAGGTCACTTCCCGCCTCCACCGATAAAGTGGCGTGTGATTTTGAACTCACCAGCAGCCGATCTTCATCATTCGAGCACTGAAACAAAAGAGAGGCGAGGCAATGTGCCGACGGGATCCCCGTGAGCTTTGAGCGGGTGTGTGCGGGCGTTACCAGCAGGCCTGGCAGCAGTTGGTGTGTTCTTCATCGATGTTTTCCGTGTTCTCCGACGCCGTTTCGCTGGCAGGAAGACTTGCTGAGCGGGCGACATGACGCACTCATGTGACCCTTGACACTAGTCGGGGAATTTGCTGATCTGAACGATTGATTGACCATCTCATCGGAGGGTCATTAGCCGAACGTGTGTGTGCGCGCGCGCGCGTGTGTGTGTGTGTGTGTGTGTTTCGCACCATGTGTCTCATTGGAGTGACTGAACCATCCAAACTTCCCTCTCTTCTTATCCGACAAATCACCGAGAGATGGACCTACACACACACACACACACACGCACACACACACAGACACGCGCACACACACACACACACACACACCCACACACACACACACACACACACACACACACACACACACACGCACTCACTTCATTAATCTGCACGCACGCATGCTAAAACACACACACACACGCACACACACACAAACTCACGGTGGTTTCCTTCCTCTTCCAGCTCATCCATGTCCTCCGCCTGAGTGATCCAGTCCATGTATCCACACAGGTCCTCCTCCATCTGCTGCTTCTCACGGAGCTTCTGGAAATCTCCGCGAGCCTTCGCCTTCTCCCTCTCCTTGCTGAACTCTCTGCAACGTCAACCCAAGATGACTCCGGGCTTGACGATAGTGGGCTCGACAATAACGGTGGGCAGCAGGGGGGTGGCAGGGGGTGAGGGGTTGGGGGGGGGGGGGTCACAAAGTGAGCATGTCGAGGCAGGTTCTGCTAGCGTAGCCTTAAGGTGACAATGAGATGTCAATGATGTCACTGACATCTCATTGTCAAAAAATGCACAAGAAGAACATCACGGCAATCTGTACGTCGCATAAGAACGCCACCAAAATGTAACAATGGCTCAATAGTACAGTACTGGAAAAAAAAAAAAAGTGCCAGAGAGCGCCTTGAGAAGTTGACTGACCCGCTGAGGACACCGAGAACCAGGTTGAGAACGAAGAAGGAGCCGAAGATGACCAGGCTGACGAAATAGACCCACGGCAGCTCAAAGCCGATGGCGTCGTTCATCTGCGCGCATGAGCGGATTATTATGAGGGCGGCCATGACGGTGGGGCGTGTAAAGCGATGGAATACTACAAGGGGCCATCAAGCGACATCATTCTCACAAAACACTTTCCGACACACAACTGAAAGGCTCTCAAAGTTACACTCATGATGCGAGATAAACTCAAAACATGAGTTTCGGTCGTATCTCTGACTGACAGCATTGCAGTTGTGGATCTGAGCAAAAAAAAAAAAAATGTTTGATGTTTTCGTGTGAGAGTGTTTCAGCAGAGGGAGTAGGAGTGTTTTGATGGTATGTATGAGAGCATAACAGGTGTGTGAATGAGAGCATTTTGGTAGCACGCGCGTGAGAGTGTTTGAGCTGCGTGTGAGATCATTTCAGAAATGTGAAGGAGAACTTTCAGGACACTGAAAAAAATGGCGTTGAAATGACGCAAATTTACGGCAGGGAGCGCCAAATAAAATCGTTTGGATCCCGAGACATTTTTGAAGTTGGATGTCTCGTCTACTTCAAAATGTACCCTGATCGTGCAACCACTTGACCAAATAAATTCAACAAAAACTTTTTTTCAGTGTCACGTGCGCGATGGGTAATCCTGAATTCCGTCGCCAACGGCCCCTCATCCGGCGCGTTGGGCCGGTCGTTCGTCACCCAGTAGAGGACGTCGGTCCAGCCCTCCATGGTGATGCACTGGAACACCGTCAACATGGCGAAGAAGAAGTTGTCGAAATTGGTGATGCCGCCGTTGGGCCCGTCCCAACGCCCGCGACACTCGGAACCGTTCACCGCGCACTGGCGGCCGTGACCCGCGAAGGCGCACGGCACCGGGTCGTCCTCCACATACGTATCTGCCGAGGACAAAGACGTGAAGCGCGGCGGCGGTTCTCAAAGGGGGGAGTAACGTTCGCGACGACGCACGTCGAATGAGCTTTAGCATCCAAAGGTCATCCGGGCCGCGCACCGGTTTCGATGTAGTAGCAAGTCCTGTGCATGCGTCCAATGAAGAGCTCCAGGCCGATGATGGCGTAGATGATGATGACGAAGAGGACCAGCAGAGCGATGTGGAGCAGCGGAACCATGGCCTTCATGATGGAGTTCAGCACAATCTGCAGACCTGTCACACACACACGCGTACGTCAACGCAGGGTGAAACGGTCCGGCCGCCACGCGCCCCGGCGCCGCACTCACTGGGAACTCCGGAAACCAGCCTGAGGGGCCGCAAGACCCGGAAGGCGCGCAGAGCTTTGACGTCCAGACCTCCAGGTTTGCCCGGCATGTGGTGCGTGCTGGCCTGTTCGCCTGACTTGTGCGTCATGGTCTCCAGGACGACACTGAACAACCTGTTGCGGAGACGGGACGGGACCACAGTAACCACGTCGCAAGCTATCATCGGACCGCGCGAAGGCAAGATGGCAATGGCGCGAAGGGCGGTCGACGCTACGTTTTGGACTTGCATAGATAAGGTGGGACAGGAAGTGCTGCTCCACATTCACTCAACCTGGCCTGAACCGAAGTAGAACCCGAGGCTCGTATTTAACGAGCCGAAGACAAGCCCGAGTCATCCTAAACGCTTGCGACAGCTTGACGCCTGAGCACGGCGAAGAAATGAGCTTGATGGCAAGAAAACAACAACAACGGAACAGCAATGTTTACAAGATCATCAACAACTTGTCAACGTCAAGTCGCGAGAGAATGACAATCAGTCGACACCAATGTAACAATGCAACCATCCCAATGACACAGAAGCAACCTGACAAACAACAGGCGGTATGGTCACAGAAATGCTCACATCGTAAAAAGCTTCTCGGGCACAGAAAACACAAAGGCAGAACAAGGAGCGTCATGGCGGTCTTTGAGGAGGAAGAGTTTCATGTTCTGCTGACGAGTCATCGGCAGAAAGCGATTGCAAGCTCAAAAAAACGAGTGGACGGAGGGCGTTTGTCCTCCGGCCGCCATGACGGCAGCCTTCATCACGACCCCCGAGGACGGGCGGCGAGGGCAACGGTGAGCAAAATTTGTCAGCACCAGCGAGCGTCTCCGCCGGCCCGCCGTGACGAGCCGAGCGTTACGCACGCTCGCGACAACGGCGCTGAATCACACCAAATGTGGCGGCGCCGCGGGCGTCCGCTAGGGACGCCCCACAAACGAGGACGTCAGCTCACGTTTGCCTCGGCTCTCAAACGCTTTAGCGCCGCGCCGCTGCACCGCAACCGCTGACGGACACTCAACCCACTCGCCCGGTCGCTAAGACGGATAACTGCTATGAATAAGAAGGAACACAAAATGAATGCGAAAATAACACAACAACAGAACAATAACATGATCACATTAACCCGAACAATAACACCCAAATTCTGCAACAGTTTCAACAAATAACACACCCGTATTGGAAGCGTGTCAGAATAATAAGATCCGAATAACAAGCCAACATGCAAGGCATTGCACCGGAGCTGGCTTGGGGGGGGGGGGGGATGCTACAGCCCCCATTTATTTATTTAGATGTTATGTCAGTTTAAAAACATTTTTTAAAAAATATATTAGGTCGCCATTTTGTTCCAATACAATTCCGTGTTTGTGCTCCAGCTGTACCCCTGTGTGTGTTTGTGAGGGCAGCGGGGGTCGGGCTGAGTCTTGCAGTGAGTCCTGGCGCATTCGAGGCGCCTTTGGAAACGAGCCCTCAGCGGGCGCTGGTTGACTGCGACCGTTTGGAAACTTTGCTCGAATTTGTCTTTCGGCTAAACACGGTTCCAGGCACCGGGTGCTCCGACTGGGAACCCGGTGCGCCAGTGCTTGCAAGGACACGCGCTGTGAATCAAGTCCCCAAACTCGAGGAGGATCCACTGCCATGGGTGGAGGACTTGTTTGCAACCTTGTCGGAAGGTCAAGTCAAGTCAAGTACAACTTTATTGTCAAATGGTCAGCTTTTTACAAAAGGCCACGCATACCAACGGGCGCTTCGAGGACTTTCAAGAGAGAATGTCACTATCAACACTCATAAGGGTCTCTTTCAGTACCGTACAACCGGCCAGTGTTTGGAGAGGCGTAAAGCCGCGCCATTTTCCAAAGGTCAAAGGACACTTTGTTGCAGGGAATCCTGCACGTTGCAGTTTACGGGGACGAGTAAAGTGGAACATTTGGCAAATCTAGGGCAGATACTGTCACAAACAGGGCTGCGATTGCAACGCTCCAAGTGTGCTTTCATGGCTTCAAGTGTGACCTGCACAATGACACCAAGTGGAAGTGGGATGCAAGCGAAGGAAGTCCTCCATTCATCGAGATTGCTTGCGTATCATGACCCAGCCGAGGCAATTAACCTCTCCTGCGATGCCTCCCCCCCGTGAAGTGGGGGAGGTTTTTTGACTGATCACGAGGGGTGGAACGGAGAAGCCGACTGGCTACTCTCAGTTGGATAACGAGGGTCCGGCTGTTCTTTTTGCCGTGAAAGCTCTCCATCAGTCCCTCTGTGGCCGAGCGTTGACTTTTACAATCGTGAGCCACTGATGAGCTTATTTTGCCAGATAAAACGTATCCCGCCTTTCGCATCGGTCAGGATACAGCGTTGGGCTCTCACGTTGTCAGCGTATGGGGACGGCACTGTGTACGGAGCAAGAAAAGATCATGCAAATGGACAGCGAGGGATTCAAAACTCTCCGAGGTGAAAGACTTTTCTCTTTCAAGGTTGGCCCAATGTGCTGGAGCAAGAGGAACTGGGGCCTGATGCAAAATGCGAGTTAGAGCTGAGTCTACAAGAAGGACGCATATTGTGGAGATCTCGGGTTATCGTGCCTCCCCTCGGGCCGTGCACAGACAGTGGAAGAGATTTGTGTGACCCATGAAAAGTGAATGAAAAGTCTCGTAAGGTCCTACGCCCGCTGACCATATTTTGCCCAAGACCTGGAGAGCAAGGTTAAAGTCAGCGTCAGACGAACCAGAGCACGCCACCGCCAGCTGCGTTGCATTGGCCAGATCGCTTCCCGTCTCGGCTCCGTTTGGATTTTGCTAGCCCGTTTATGGGGCACATGTTGCTGCCGATGGTGGACGCACATTCCAAATGGAAAGAAGCTTTGAGAATTGTGGACAAATAAAAATAAGTTTTGCCGTCCGTAGCCTGCCGGACACCCTGGTCACAGATAACCTTCCGGAAACTGACACGAAAGCTCAAGTGGAGAGAAAGCGGAGCAAGCAAAAAGAGGATCAACGTGCGCAAGAGAGAGACACTCTTATCCTGGTGATGCAGTTAATCTGACAAACTTTGGCGGTACTCGGAGGCATTACTGGTTGGCGGGAGTCGACCGGCGTCGACATCAGGATCATGTGCGTCTGCATCGTGGTGCGCAGGTAACCTTGACTAGCCCCTTTTAGGGACCAGCCACCACCATGTTCAAGAAAAACCATGCCCACCAGTGACATAACACAAACAACAACGTCGCAACAATAGCGCATTTCACCACCGTAGCGCTGCTTTTGCAACCGCTAACGACACGATCCTTTCACGCAGTCGGTAAGAGAGAAATTAAAAATGGTAACATAAACACGGAATAATCTAACAAGTCCTATCGTGGAACAACAACACAATAACGTAACGCTAACATGAAAAACACAGTACGTGATTAATCAACAATAGCATAACAATCATGAAACAAGGATACAAAATTAACAACGACGTAGTGAAACATCTTCACCCGGTAGCTTCGATGTTACTATTTGAATTAAATCTCTCATCCAGACGTATGTCACTGCTTGTGCAATAGAAATAAGTCACAACTAAACAATGTCATCACAAAACGTTAGCTTAGCTTACCCGACGATGACAATAACAAAATCCAGAAGGTTCCAGCCATTGCGGATGTAAGAACTCGGGTGCATGACCAGACCATAAGCCAGGATCTTCAGGAAGGTTTCCACCGTGAAGATGATGAGGAACACATACTCCACTTGTTCCTAAAGGAAACACGGCGGTGTCAAATATCCTCTCTCCAAATGTCCAAATGTCTTCACTATGTGTCTTAAAGTTCCCAAATGTCCCCACTTTGCGGCAAATTGTCCTATTTGTGTGTAAATGTCCTCACAATGTATCTGACTGTCCTAATTTTGCCTTTAAATCGTCACACTGAACTGTCTACGAAACGGTAAAAGTGTAAGCGGGCAACTAGCTTAGCTTTAGCTTGTCTTGGCACGGGCATAGGCTGGCTTCGTACAAGGTGTGGTCTATACGTGTGCGTCATTTGAGGGGTGCGGAGTGTACGGCTCACCAGGTCGTGATTGGTGGAGTTGGAGTCGTCCTCAGGAAAGGGCTTGGACACCCCCAACGCAACACAGTTAGCGAAGATGGCTAACAGGATGAAGATGTCAAAAGGCCTGAGGGACACTAAGGAAGCTCAATCAGGCACACATTTTCCACTGGAAATACGTCACGGGCTGCCGCGCACGGAGTCCATCCTTGGTGGTTGAACGGCGGTAACAGGAAGTGATGTCATGAGCATCTGAATAATTAGCTCCGTAACTGGGATTAAAAAGGATACTTCCATTCAACAATGGAGAGCGCAGCACGTCTGATCGGGTTGTTGAGCTTCAGGCAGAACAGCGCTCGGGGCGCTCGCTGGACCTGATTGCTCCCCTGGACCTGGACAGGAAGTGACATCATCACCTTTAGACAGTGTCTTTTTCCTACCGCGTTGCTCTCTACGTGTACTTTCAGTGACACATAGCAAATTCCCTCACTCGTTTCTGAGAGTGTTATCTCACCTGCCTGCTAGCGTGTTGTTCAATCTGCCGTTGAGCATATTGACACTTCACAAGTTGTCTCACAAATTTCTTCGCATGTAGTCTGACATATCTCTTAGCATGTTGTCTCAAACGTCACTGAGCTCGCGTGTTTTGCTGCTCTCTAATTCGGAGATGAACAAAGTAACTCTTGCTGAGTCGCGTATCGCTTAACGCGTTGTCTGACCTGTTTCTTAGCGTGCTGTCCCCTCCTACGTTGCGTTCCAGTGGAACTGGTGGTTGAGTGGAGGGTGTCTGTCCTGGTCATTCGCACTCCCTGGTCCTGGCCCTCCAGCTCCTCGTCCCAGTCCCCTCCGCCTCTGTCCTCTCCCGCACCTCCGCCGCCGCCGCCGCCTCCTCCTCTGTCTTCCTCTCCGCCCTCCTCACCCTCGCCGCCACCATCTTCACCGTCCACAGCGTTGGCATAGCCGTTACGTGCCGCGCCTGGCAACCGACATGAGGATTCAGGAATGGCGGACGCAAACGGGCAGGAGAAAAAAAAAGGTGCCAGTCAAGCTTGCGTCGCAGTCGCCCTCTTACTGGACTGGTGGGGGCGGTTCACGCAGCCGTCGCTGGTCAAACGCTAATTCTGTCCGACCAGAAGGCAGCTAGGCGTAGCGGCGCAAGTGGCCTGTTTGAGTGCGTCCATTTCGAGGGTGAGAAACTTCAAAGTTGGACTTTGAAAAGCCCAGCATGCCCAAGCAGAAAATTAATGGATGGACGGATGGACTGGAGCTCCAGCGAGAAGGCACACCCTCCAGCCGAGTGAGGCCGTTTTCCACACATCCTTTTCGGGTGAGCGGTGCGGGTTTGCCCGCTGGAAGTGAATTTGAAGGGGGGAAGTCAAGCTCACACTTTGAGATGAAAAATGAAATGATGTCTAAAATACCGTATAGACCTTAACATCCTACGTCGAATGCAGCTTACGAAAAGCCTCTTGCGTTTGCACATCTTGGTGACTTATCGACAAAAACAAATCCAGCATGACTGAGACGGCATGTGAGATGCTCATATCCTCATTCTCTTATAAATCAGACAAGGAGGCTCTCATCCTTGTGAGATTTACAGAAGTTGAAGTGGGCAAAATGAGAAATTGTGGTGGCGAGCGATCGCCGTTTT